ATAAATAGGTGTCCATTCGGCTAAATACATGACTATTAAATAGAAATACATGATGTTTTAATGAATGAAGATGTCCTTGGCTGAATGGTCTCCTTGCTCTTCATCTTGGCGCCAATTTTGAATCAAAAGGATGCTTAGGCCGAATAGAGAAAACCCTCTTCATTTTGGCGCCCATTTCATCCACACGCATGGAACATGTGTGGGCTGGTCATAAGACACTCACATGGGTGGCTTGGAGTCTTATGGTGTGTCTCCTACTTGGCGTGAAGTTGAGCAGCAACTTAGGTGTGACTTTGCATCCAACTTGCTTCTAGATGACATGGCGTCAATGGGGCAGCAACTATTTATGAAAGGTCACATTTGTGGAAGGCAACCTTTCATCATTTGAGCTACTTCCCATGTGTTTGAGCTGAATATGAGCTGGCCATAGATGCAATACATGTCAATGAGTCTTAGGACAGCTCCTTGTGAAAGGGCACTTCTCGGATTGGCAACTCTTCGCGCAAAGGTACGAATTCACAAAATTCGACCTAGACCATATTTGTAGTGCTCTGTATGGTGAAGATGATGGTGTAACTCTCCAGCTGAAAAGAAGTCTCTAGCTAGCTCAAAAGTCCAGCTCAAGTGAGCTATGAGCTCGGAGGTCAGCTGACAACTTTTCATCATTTGTTCTTCATGATCTCCCGAGTCATCTTATGGAAGTTTTCCTAGCTCATTGACTCCCATACTAGCTTTAAATCAGCTCCTATCATGTGGCCGAACATGTACCTACAAAAGAAAGCTTTTATAAGCTAAGTAATATAAAATATAAATATATAAATATATGGTTCATAGATTATATTATATGTCAACATAAAACATATTATATAATCTATTGTTTGGGGATGCATTCTTAAATGATTTAAAGGTTTTAATGTATTTGGTAGTAAGAGCTTCCCTGAATAGTTTGGCTCTTGATCGAGTTATTGGTCCATGTGGCATTACTTCCATATCCTTTGAAGATGGTGTTGGTGTGCTCACATCACTTAGCACCAGGCAACGTCCCATTTCGTTCATGCCAAATATATTAGAGATAAGCGCACCAAGCTAAGTGAACTATAACAGCCCTCAATGACTTACCCCGATCATGCTTTTAAACCCATCCCACCATAGTTCCCGCCACCAGAGGGCATCTTCCACGCCACACGTGCCGCCACTCCATACGTGCCGCCACTGCACGTGTGGGAGTTGTTTTGTAACTGTCGGTTCAAGCTATTGAACCGGTCTGACTGAAAGACTGAAGCAGTTTTGGACAGGTCTGCTTGAACCAACCCATTTAAACGACAAACCCCTTTGATCAAATCAAACACGTTGACCCGACCCATTAACCATTGATTTTTTTATATACTGTTGACTTTGACCGTTGACTATCGACTTTGACTTTGACACATTGACTTTTTCTAAAGACCATTATCTTCATTTTTTCAACGTCCTAAATCCGTTTATGTAGTCCGTTTTGCCAATTTATGATCCAAAAGCCCTTTTTGCATCATTTATCGTTTATAGTCGTAATTTTGTTAAGTAAATTATGAGATTTTTGAACTCACTTTTTGGTGTTATTTCCAGAAGTTGATCATGTATCTCCGTATCACTCTCTGGTAGATCTTGACCTCCTCGTTCGACAGTTTGATTTCACTTGCCTGTCTCGAGATGCGCATAAATATTAATTACTAGGTTAAAAGTCTTAGAGGTATTATTTGGTAATCACTTAGTGCTATGTCACTATTAGGTTCCCAGTAGGGGTGAGCATTCGATCGAGTCGAGTGGAGTCAAATATTTCAAGTTATTCGAGTTGATGAGTCATATTTTACAACTCGAACTTAACTTAAAAAAATTTCGAGTGAAGTCGAGTTTAAGAAATTCGAGTCGAGTTATTCGAGTTTCTATACTAATTTTATTATAATTATTTATAGTATTATGGCTAGGATTTGTTCCATTTTTTTACTATCTAACCATATAATATATATATTCTTTTCATATTATAATGTTATTTAATAAATCAAATACAATCTAAAATTATGAAATATATTGATAATATTATATTTTAAAGAAATTAGTTTGAGGATAAAATATTGATAATAGTACAAATGAGTCAAGAAATTGATGGGAAGAAGGAATTTGCAAACAATTGTATTCAAAAGATCAAATTGAATAAAATGTAAAGTTAAGGGACTAAATAAAAAAGAGACTACATATTTAGTAAAAAAATAACAATATAACAATTGAAGTTACAAGGTATTCTATTGTGGTATATGAGCATGCTGTTCAAATTTGGTAAAAAAAGACTTAAAATAAATGATGAATTGAATAAATGAGGAGATAATGAAAATTTGAAGGACTAAATTGAAAAATAAAAATTTTGTTATAGAAAAAGAGGAATTGAAAGTACACATGTATTATACTATGTTTTAAGAGCATGTGGTTCAAATTCGATAAAAAATGAACTTAAAATGGAGGAATTGAAGAAATAATGAAATCAGGGACTAAATCGTAAAATTATCAAAATACTTAGTCAAATTTTTTATTTTTTGAGTAACTCGAAAGTTCAAAATTTCAACTCGACTCGAACTTGGAAACAAAATTGACTCGAATAACTTGAATCGAATAACTCGAAATTGAAAAAATCAATTTTTTTAGTCGAGTTTTGCTTACCCCTAGTTTCCAGGCCATAGGACCTAGTATTACTGATCGTGGGAAGCGTAAGGCTTAGGTATCATCAATTAGTTATTATAAGTATATCCATTTGACATGTTTGATACCTTTAATATTGTTTGATATTATGTCGTGTGATATGATATGTACGCATGTACGTATTATGGCTACGTGTATTTGAGTTATGACTGGTTTCTTATTACTATTGCATCATTTTAAATCTGTGCATTGATGCATTCATGTTTCTACATGGGATTCTCTATGGAGGGCATAATCCCCGTCATGATTATGTATGAGATTATATCCCCGTCCTTATTCTGCATGATATTGTTAAAATAAATTAGGAGAATGAAAATTTGAAGGACTAAATTGAAAAATAAAAAATTTGTTATCAAAAAGAGGAATTGAAAGTACACATGTATTATACTATGTTTTAGGAGCATGTGGTTCAAATTCGGTAAAAATGGACTTAAAATGAAGGAGGAATTGAATAAATAATGAAATCAGGGACTAAATCGTAAAATTGTCAAAATACTTAGTCAAATTTTGTATTTTGCGAGTAATCTGAAAGTTCAAAATTTCAACTCGACTCGAACTTGGAAACGAAATTGACTCGAATAACTTGAATCGAATAACTCGAAATTGAAAAAAAAATCAATTTTTTTAGTCGAGTTTTGCTCACCCCTAGTTTCCAGGCCGTAGGACCTAGTACTACTGATCGTGTGAAGCGTAAGGATTAGGCATCATCGATTAGTTATTATAAGTGTATCCATTTGACATGTTTGATACCTTTAATATTGTTTGATATTATGTCGTGTGATATGATATGTACGTATTATGATTATATGTATTTGAGTTATGACTGATTTCTGATTACTATTGCATCATTTTAAATCTGTGCATTGATGCATTCCTGTTTCTACATGGGATTCTTTATGGAGGGCATAATCCCCGTTATGATTATGCATGAGATTATATCCCCATCCTGATTCTACATGGGATTGTATCCCCGTCCTAATTTTGCATGAGATTGTATCCCCATCCTGATTCTGCATGATATTTTATCCCCGTTCTATTTTTACATGGGATCCTCTACGGAGGGCAACATCCCCGTTTCTGATTTCTGATGAGTTCCTCCTTGAAGGTTAACTCGAGCTCCTCTCGGAGTGTAACATCCATCCTGATTTCTGTTTTATGGTTTGGGTCCACTTTGGAGGTCTCATGTTCCTTTCAACAGTTAATGTTTTCTGTTTTGTTCGTCTATGACAAGAGGTAAGGTTGTGAAGAACTTTGTATGATTTTATGATAATAAATATTTGGTTTTACTATTACTTGATTTTTTTTATATCATGCATGAAATATCTAAATTATTATTTATATTTAGAGGGCACACTGAGCTTAGCAGCTCACTTTGTTTCTGTTTCTATTTTCAGATTATCCAGATGCATAATTGGTTTAGCTATCATTTTATACCGTGCTAACATTTTGCTTTCAACCTCTTTAATCTGTGGCATTGATTTATTAAGATCTCGTATTTGATTCAGTTGTAGCTCCTAGACCATATCTAAGGGTTACGATATTTATTTGGAAATAAAAAATATTTACATTAATTTTTGAATTAAAAAAAGTTCTTTTGGTTTTAAAATGAATATCTCTTTGTTATGAATAATCATAAATATCACAATCCAACAGCTTTGGACATTATCTCTTTACTTATCACAGCAAAACAACAAATTTTTATTTCTCAAAATAAAAAAAAAAAACTTTTTATATCATGTACGCTTTAAAAATAAATGAAACAAGAAAACATGTATTAATAATAATTAAATAAATAACTAAACATGTTGATGGTTAAATTGTGTAAAAATAGAAATAAAATTAGGTTTAAAACAATCAATTCAAGTGAAAAAATATTAAATTAAATAAATTGAAAAGGAGAAATAATCAAATCATAATTAACCTCAATAATAAGAAAACATACTCAAATTAGATTCAAGCTAAAACAACATCATTTTGGGTTAAAATAATTCTCCTAAAAGGACATAGTTCCTTGTACTGTGATAAAAAAAAACTAATTTATGTAGATGAAGCTCAAAGTTGGAATCTTCTTACAGGCAAACAACAACACATTATTTAAAAAGGAATCAAAGTTGTCAGAGAGAGAGAGAGATGCGCAGTGGCATCCTAATTAAAAAGAAGTCACCAAAGTTAATACAATTAAATCCACCACATTACACACAAATAACCATGCAAACACAGATGATAAAATGCGCTGATACCTTTGCATGCATGCTTTCTTATATTTATTCCATGTATCATCAGAGTCATGGTAGCCATCCCGTCATGTAATTATTCACACTCGGACCCCCGGTGACGGCCGATATCGTGTCCGGCTGATATCTGCAATCCAACACAATCGGTACAGTTAGTTAAGCCGTAGATTGTTATAGCTACGTATTCAGATATGAATATATGTGATACCCGATATGCAATGTCGGCTCGCAGTCCAATGGATGGAAGAAGACGTCGCCGGCCTGAGGCTGATTAGCTGGTTGTCGGCCGTAGCCGACATCCTCGACGTTTGGATTCAACTGAAGTGAATTTACTTGATACCCTTCCATCAACTGCAAAAACAATTGGTTCTCTCAAGTCATTGAATATGGTCTTTGGTAATCTTAGAAGTTAAAAAAGGAACTTACCCTTTGTTTTAGGGTCCTGTTGGCCTCATTAAGTAGATGTTCCTGCATCAAAGAGAATGACACATAGTTGCAATACCCAGGAATTCAATCATTTTGAAAGTAAATAAGTTAAGGGTATACATTTCGTTGGAGGTCAGTGAGCTGATCCAACATGTATTGAGTCTACAACAGATATACTCAAAGATCAGATTGATTATTATTTAGAAACACAAACAATTAGCAAAGTTCTTTCACTGCAATTTCCTAAAAGGATAAGAAAGCAATCTGATCAGCATACCCGAGTCGATCGGATCAGCTTTAACGATGAATCGAGCTGCCTCTCAAGCGACTCGAGCTCTTTGCTGCTCAAAGGGCCAAGATCTTCTCCTAGTAAATTCCTTTGGGACCTCTGTAAGGCTTCATATCGTGCTTTGAACTTCAGATATTCCTGCTGACTGCTCAACTCCTACATAGACACCATGAAAATGATGAATTTAAAGCATGGATTCGTTTGCCACTAAACACCAGATTTGAAGAAAACTTAAGCATTGAAAAACATATGCACAATCGTACAGGCAACCACGCCTGTTCCTACTACTGTATGAAGCTGTTAATAATGGATATTGACTCAAATTTGAGTTAGAAATTAAGATGGATTTTCTTGTAATTTTATTAATTAAAAATCACCTAATGATTAAGTTCGTTTAGTTAAGAATTCTTATGGAATAAAGTTTGTTTTCCCTATAAATATTTGGTAGGTCCTATAGCTTTTAGAGTTATGAGAGAATATTTTTCAAGAACTGTAATTTTTTTAGTCCATGCAACTTTTGAGGTTTATATTGCATATATGAATTTTGTAGGGATATAAAAAATTAATTAGAGATACACCGGATTTCAACATAATTCTAGCCTTCATCATCACTACACTTATAGTGAATTATTATTTTTATCATCGATTAAGATAGATAAGATTAAATCGCATCAAAACCCGTCTACTATCTTATTTTATTTTAATCTTGTTTTATTTATTTTCTGATTACAGATTCCTAATATTATCTAGACTATCACACAAACAAATGATAATATTAATTTGACACAAATTGATTTAATTTTTTTTAAAATTCTTCATATATTTGAAATTCTGAATCTCGAATTTACGTTTCAATATGAATATATCATAGATGTTGTAGATATAAATAATAAGAAGTTTAACTGTATTAGATATAAATCTAAATTCTAATCTATAATTAATTTGGTTGAAATTTACTTAATAAATAATTAATTTTATTTAAAAAAGTTGCAGAGATGAGCATATTACCAGAGCCTCCCTAGCTGAAACATTTGTCTCGGGAGCTCCATGGCTGCACTTCTGGTACCTCTCCAATGTTTTCATCATGCTGCATAGCCATAAAATTTAGTAATTTTCTCACAATGCAAGATGCATCAATGGAAAAAGATGGGAAAAAAACATAAATTTTTTCAGTTTCCTAAAAAATATAGATCTGAGAGAAACCTGGGTGTTTAGAGTTTCGTTTAACCTGAAATAATTGAAAATCGAAAACCCTAACCTGTGGGGGGGGGGGAAGCAGCTTTGGAGAAATCAAAAACCCTAGAAAGACTCAGAACCATCCATGGAGATGTCTCCATCCACTTTCAAGTGATTGAAGCAGTAATTAAAATTCCCAGAAACAAAGAAAGAGAGAAATACAATATAATCCATTGGAAACAAAGGAAGTTCTTTTGTAAGAAAAAGAAAAGACGGATCTGAAAAACAGACATGACAGTGGTGAAGTCTCTTGTTTGTCTTTCCTGTTTTGATTTGGTCGTAAACATCTCTAACAGGTATCCATTGGTTCTTTATCTGTTTTGTTTCTTCTTAAAAAGCAAATGAAAATCAATCATCGAACTCCGAAATAAAACCCTACTCATGAGCTGAACACACTGATCAAACATAATTTATAATAATTCAAGGGAAAGATGAAGATCTAAACTTGACATGGAAGAAAAGAATTGATTCCTGAAATTCAAAGCTAATCCTCAGCAGATCTTCGAGTTTCTTCAAGTTAGATCAGAGATTGAAGAAAATCAGATGACGAAAGATGAAAGAAGAAAGAGATGGGATTAGGGTAATCAATATAACAGTTGTCTTGGTTTAGATGCTAAAGAATTAACATCGGCAAGAAGGGGAAAACCACACAGGCACTGCCATAAACGCCAAGACATTCACCGAAACGGCAAAACTCAAGCATCACTTTATTTCATAAATTTTCACTCTTTTTCCTCTTTATTTTCTCTCAAAACTCTCAACACCTAAAAACAGCAAAAATCCCACCGTTTCAAGGTCAGAATTCAAAGCCAGCTATAAAGAAAGAGAAAGAGGGGGGCTTCGTTTTATGACCTTAAAAAACAAACCCTTCAACTTTAGAGGGAGAGAGAGTGTTGGATCATAAACTTGATCCATTATGGGAGCCTAAACCCAAACCCAAACTAAATTGATGTCATTACTTACATCATTTAATTAAAGATGTCATTGCTTACATCATTTAATTAATGATGTCATTGCTTACATCAATTTAGTTAGGTGAGAGTTAGATATTTGTTGAATTTGTAATGGTTTAAATTAGTTTATTTGTGTGGTGTAGGATTGTTCTTGAGTAGTATAAATACCCCTTCCCATTTTAGTTTTAAGCATCAAGAAAAATTAAGAGCTTCTAAGTGAGTGAAGAAGCAAAGTCTTATAAGAGTGAGTTGTAGTTCTTGTTTTTGAGTGAGAGTACTCTTGTAATATTTGTTTGAGTTTCAATAAAAGTTGTTTGTGTGAGTGTTTTATTTCCAACAAAGTGGTATCAGAGCGAGTTGGAAAGATCGAAGGTCTCGACGAGAGGAATACGACGCCGCCAGAATTTTCTCAATCTGAGTTCTGACGCACCGCCACGCACCGCCGGAAGACTGCTGCTAGAAAATCGAGTTGACTCACCGAGTTGAGCCGATTCAGCCGAGTTGGAGCCCTTGACCGAGTTGTCCAAGTCCCTCCAAAGTTTTTTTTTTCATCATTCCGGATTCATCCGTGCAATCGGATTTTACAAAATCTCATTATATTGAGAGATATGGCAAATGGTATGGCACCATTCCAAGTTCCGACACTCAACAACAACAACTACGACAATTGGAGTATCAAAATGAAGGCACTTCTTGGATCACAAGATGTGTGGGATATCATAGAGAAAGGCTATAATGAGCCTGCGGATGATGATGCTTTTGCTACTCTTACACCAAATCAAAAGACAACTTTGAAGGATTCAAGAAAGAGAGACAAGAAGGCTCTCTACCTCATCTATCAAGCATTAGATGATGATGGTTTTGAAAAGATTTCAAGTGCAAGCTCTAGCAAGGAAGCGTGGGAGAAGCTGCAAACCTCTTACAAATGATCCGAGCAAGTGAAGAAGGTTCGTCTCCAAACATTAAGAGGTGAATTCGAATCCTTAAACATGAAAGCATCTGAGTCTATTTCAGATTATTTCTCAAGAGTAGTAGCTGTTTCTAATCAATTAAAAAGAAATGGTGAAAAGTTAGACGATGTGAGGATAATAGAGAAGATACTCCGTTCGTTGGATCCCAAATTTGAGCACATCGTCGTGACGATTGAAGAAACTAAAGACTTGGAAGAAATGAAGATCGAACAGCTCCAAGGATCATTGCAAGCATACGAAGAGAAGCATAAAAAGAAGCATGAGTTTACTGAGCAACTCCTCAAGCTGCAACTCAAGGATATGCATGAGAGCCAACGCAATGATAGAAACCAACGTGGCCAAGGCAGAGGTAGAGGCCATGGACGAGGTGGAAGTCGAGGTCGTGGACAAGGCTGGAATTACAACAATAACAATTCCAACAACAACTATGAGAAAGGAGAAAGCTCAACACGAGGCCGTGGAAGAATTAATCCAAACTCAAAGTATGACAAATCTCAAATTCGATGTTATAATTGTCAAAAATTTGGGCATTATGCTTCAGAATGTAGAGCTCCCAACAACAAAATTGAGGAGAAGGCCAATTACGTGGAGGAAAAGACAGATGGCAAAGAAACTCTTCTTCTAGCACGAAAGGAAACTGATGGTGGCCAAGCAAATTCCTGGTATCTTGACAGTGGTGCAAGCAATCACATGTGTGGAAGGAAAGACATGTTTGTGGAGCTAGACGAGTCAGTAAGTGGAAATGTTTCGTTTGGAGATGATTCCACAATAGCAGTGAAAGGGAGAGGTAACATTCTTATCCGTTTGAAAGATGGGAGACATCAATTTATTTCAAATGTCTACTATGTGCCCAATATGAAAAGTAACATTTTAAGTTTAGGGCAATTGGTAGAGAAAGGTTATGATATTCATATGAATAATTATAATCTTTCTATAAAAGATGATAAGAATAACTTCATTGCTAAAGTGCCGATGTCAAAGAATAGAATGTTCTTGATCAACATACAAAATGATGTTGCAAAGTGCCTGAAAGCTTGCTACAAAGATGCATCATGGCTTTGGCATCTTCGATTTGGGCATCTCAATTTTGGAGGTCTAGAGCTATTATCTAAGAAGGAGATGGTGAAAGGACTACCTCACATCAACCATCCTGACCAGCTCTGTGAAGGGTGTCTAGTCGGGAAACAATTCAGGAAAAGCTTTCCAAAGGAGTCAGAGACAAGAGCTAAGAAGCCACTTGAGCTCATCCATACCGATGTGTGTGGACCGATCAAGCCAAGCTCTCTCGGTAACAATAACTATTTTCTTCTCTTCATTGATGATTTTTCAAGAAAAACCTGGGTATATTTCTTGAAACAGAAGTCAGAAGTTTTTGAAGTCTTCAAGAAGTTCAAAGCAGCAGTGGAGAGAGAAAGCGGTAGAAAGATCAAAGCCATGAGATCCGATCGAGGTGGAGAATTTACTTCCAAGGAGTTTCAAGAGTTCTGTGAAGCAAATGGAATTCGTCGACCAATGACAGTTCCTAGATCCCCCCAGCAAAATGGTGTGGCAGAAAGAAAGAATAGAACAATTCTCGACATGGCACGAAGCATGCTCAAAAGCAAGAAACTACCCAAAGAATTTTGGGCGGAAGCAGTATCGTGTGCAGTCTACTTGTCAAATCGATCTCCAACAAGAAGTGTATGGGGAAAGACACCGCAAGAGGCATGGAGTGGAAGAAAGCCTGGCATTTCCCACTTGAGAACCTTTGGAAGTATAGCCCATGTTCACGTACCAGACGAGAGAAGAACGAAGCTTGATGATAAAAGCGAGAGTTTTATCTTCATCGGCTATGATGCTAATTCGAAGGGCTACAAGTTGTACAATCCAGACAATAAGAAGTTTGTGATTAGTCGAGATGTGGTCTTCAACGAAGAAGGAGAATGGGATTTTAACTCTCATACAGATGACTTCAATTTCTTTCCTCTGTTTGAAGATGATGAGCAGACAATGAGGGAGCAACTAGATGAATCTCAACAAGAGCTTGCAACTCCACCCACTTCACCAACATCAACCACTCAAGGAGACTCATCACCTTCATCATCGTCAAGTGGGAGTCAAAGTGAAAGAGTTGTGCAACGCACAAGAAGCCTTAGAGATCTCTATGAGGTAACTGAACGACAAGATAATCTTACATTATTTTGTCTGTTTGCCGATTGTGAACCAGTGAGCTTTCAAGAAGCGGTACAAGAAAAGAAATGGAGAGATGCGATGGACGAAGAAATCAAGGCCATCGAGAAGAATGACACATGGGAACTTACCTCACTTCCCAAGGGACATAAGGCGATAGGTGTCAAATGGGTGTATAAAACAAAGCAAAACACCAAAGGAGAGATTGAAAGGCACAAGGCGAGGCTAGTTGCTAAAGGCTATAGTCAAAAGGCTAGAATTGACTATGATGAGGTATTTGCTCCTGTTGCTCGATTGGAGACTATCAGACTAATCATTTCTTTGGCAGCTCAAAACAAGTGGAAGATACAACAGATGGATGTAAAGTCCGCCTTCCTAAATGGAGTTCTTGAAGAGGAACTTTACATTCAGCAACCATCAGGCTATGAAGTCAAAGGGCATGAAGACAAGGTGTTGAAGTTGAAGAAGGCTCTTTACGGGCTAAAACAAGCACCAAGGGCATGGAATAGCCGAATCGACAAGTACTTCCAAGAGAATGGCTTCAACAAATGTCCCTACGAGCATGCTCTATATATCAAGATCAAAGATGAAGATATTTTGATCGTGTGCCTCTACGTGGACGATTTGATCTTCACTGGAAGCAACCCAAGCATGTTTAATGAATTCAAGGATGTGATGATGAAAGAATTCGAGATGACAGACATGGGGCTCATGGCGTACTACCTTGGCATTGAAGTTAAGCAACAAAATGATGGAATTTTCATTTCACAGGAAAGCTATGCAAAGGAGATACTGAAGAAGTTCAAGATGGAGAACTGTAAGCCAATAAGCACACCAGCAGAATACGGGATCAAGATGACCAAACATAAAGAAGGCGAAAGTGTAGATCCAACATTCTTCAAAAGTTTGGTAGGAAGTCTACGCTATCTAACTTGCACGAGACCCGATATTCTTCACGCAGTTGGATTGGTTAGTCGCTACATGGAATCCCCAACAACCACCCATTTTAAAGCCGCAAAGAGAATTCTTCGCTATCTGAAAGGTACAATTGACTTTGGCTTGTTCTATTCAGTTTCTAATGATTACAAGCTTGTTGGATATAGCGACAGTGATTGGGGTGGAGACATAGATAATCGAAGGAGCACTACTGGATTCGTATTTTTCATGGGAGATATTGCATTCACATGGATGTCAAAGAAACAACCGATTGTCACATTATCCACTTGTGAAGCGGAATATGTTGCTGCTACCTCATGTGTTTGTCATGCAATTTGGCTTAGAAATCTATTGAAGGAGATTGGTTTGATACAAGAAGAGCCTACCAAGGTTTGTGTCGACAACAAGTCAGCCATTGCCTTAGCAAAGAATCCAGTATTCCATGATCGAAGCAAGCACATTGATATTCGCTACCACTATATAAGGGAGTGTGTTGCAAGAAAAGATGTGGAAGTTGAATATGTGAAGTCACAAGATCAAGTTGCTGATATTTTTACCAAGCCACTGACCAGCGAAGACTTCTTAAGATTAAGGAACCTACTAGGGGTCACGAGATCAAGTTTAAGGGAGGGTGTTGGATCATAAACTTGATCCATTATGGGAGCCTAAACCCAAACCCAAACTAAATTGATGTCATTACTTACATCATTTAATTAAAGATGTCATTGCTTACATCATTTAATTAATGATGTCATTGCTTACATCAATTTAGTTAGGTGAGAGTTAGATATTTGTTGAATTTGTAATGGTTTAAATTAGTTTATTTGTGTGGTGTAGGATTGTTCTTGAGTAGTATAAATACCCCTTCCCATTTTAGTTTTAAGCATCAAGAAAAATTAAGAGCTTCTAAGTGAGTGAAGAAGCAAAGTCTTATAAGAGTGAGTTGTAGTTCTTGTTTTTGAGTGAGAGTACTCTTGTAATATTTGTTTGAGTTTCAATAAAAGTTGTTTGTGTGAGTGTTTTATTTCCAACAGAGAGGGAGAGAAAGGATGGGTTTAGTTGTTTTGGTGATATACCTTGAACTACTGCAAAACTCGTACAGTTTTCCTCTATTGGAGAAGATGATGAGAGCAACCTCGGCATCACAAAGAACCGAAAGCTCATACGCTTTCTTCAAAAGCCCATTCCTTCTCTTAGCAAAAGTCACCTGCCTGTTAATCTTGTTCTCTATCCTCTTCAACTCAACCCTACCTCTCCCCATTTTTTTCAACAAAACCCAAACGCTGTAAATGACACTATGTTTCTTTTCTTCTTCTTCTTCTTCTTCTTCTTCTTCTTCTTCTTCTTCTTCTTCTTCTTCTTCTTCTTTCTACCCTTTTTATTCTCTTATCATCATTTTCTAATCTAATTCTAATCAAAACCAGAATCTTTTGCTTTGTTTTACACACTAAACAAAATGATAAGACATCCCTAAACAAAAGGAGTTTTATTTTCTCTTTATATCTCTCTCCCCAAAGGTACCTATTTTTTTTTGTACGTTCAACCGTTAGATGGTTGATCCAACGGTAGAGGAAAGGAGAGCAGCCAAAGACGAAGAAGCTGGAAAACCTTAACCAATAAATGCAAAGCGAACTGTGACAGTGCTACGTGTCGACAGGAGAAGCAGACAGGCTTGGTAATGACTCAACTGATCAATTTAGGGTTCGGGCAATCGTGTGACCTAACCTTAAGAAGGTGAACCTTTCGTAATATGTTTTGCGATATTACCCTTCTCGGTGTTCTCTCCGGCTCGGCTTTCCATGTCGGAATCTGTCTTTGGTATTTTGGTTTTTAAGACAAATCGTTGTCTTAAGATATTCTATAGTTATTTTTTTTGTCAAAATATAATTTTATTAAGAATTTAAAGAAACAAACTGAAAATCGAAATTATGTGTTCTCATTAAAAACCTCTTTAAACCTAATTTGAAAAAAAAAAGTACAAGATAACTTAGTAAAAAATACAACTCTACAACTTTAAAAACGGACAACCATTAACAAAAGCGTTAGGACAATACATATAATTTTCAGCAGAACGCAGATACAAAACTAACCGACGCTGACAATTAACCCTCACCATCATGCTTTAAATAGCTCACACTAGCGCATCCCTTCTTTGGCTAGATGATCCGCCAATCCGATAAGGCTTCTAGGCGCAAACATGAAAATCACTCATGCAATCGACTGAATCAATCTAACTACTCGACAAAGAAATTACACCATCGCCGTGATCTCATCATCAAGATTGAAATCCAATTCAAGACCACCTGCGAATCAGAATCCGCTGCATGGTTTGCCTATCCAAACCATTGAGATTCTATAGTTACGTTGTACGATAATTTAATTTAAGATTAAGAAGTTGTGAAAATAAGACAAAAGACCTAATATTTTAGGTCGAGTATAATTTAAAATGTTATTTTTTTTATCACACTTTCAACTGCGTCTATTTCCTTTGGTTTTTAACCTTGGTCTAGGTTGTTGTTTCTTATATTTTTCCTAAGATATTCTTTGCAACAAATCCAGACAACGTAATTATAATTTGGTTAGATAAAACAAAACCTAATACTTACGCTCTTAAAAATAAACAAGTAATAAAAAAAAACCTTGAATTTTACTATAACGAGTTTAACTTGGTATTGTTTTACAGAGGTCTGTGTATGGTGAGATTATTTACTGAGTCAAATGGGTATCTTTAATAATAATGACAAGAATTGCATGATTAGAACGCATGCAAATATTACTGAGTGAGATAAGAAAATCTGAAGAAGGAAATATATAAATATCGAGTAGTTGGTTGGGGAGTTTTGAAAGAATTAAGGAAGATTAATATTGCTAAATGCTGCTCACATTAGTTTCTTAATCTGCTTTGTACATTTTGCAAGCGATTAAGAAAGTTTTGTTGAAAGGATTACTTGCGTTAGTTGATGCATATGTGATTAATTCAAAACATATATGAGAATTACTTGCTTGACTCAAAGGATAAAACTAGGATGATATCATGGGATTAAATTGTTTAACTTTAAAATTAACAAGGACTTAGAAAGTATTTAAACAAAAATGAGAATTGGGGTCTAATTTATTAATTTTAAAATTGGTAGACAAGATAATAGGTATATACCGTGATTTTGTACTCGAATTGCAATTTTTTTTCCCTATCTTTATTCATTATGGCATCCGATTCCATATGCTCCATGTTTTTTTTTATTGGAAAACTATCTAGGGTTATCAACTTATGTTAATAAATGCACTTCACATATGAATAATTATTCATGTAAAAAACTTTTTTTTAACAATGATTTGGAAATTATGAATAATTATTATCTTATAATTAATTTAAACTATTTTAAAAAAATGTCGTATAATTTGTTTGAGGCTTATAACGTTAGAGTTCAGGATTAAAATAGATATGATGATGAATCCGTCAAATGATCTCAATGGTTAAAGGGATAGTTGTTCTCTCTAAAAGTTTTGGATTCGATACGTTACGCTTGTAGGGTGTGTGTTTCTAATGCTAAGAAAGATTATGAACAAATATTATTCGATAACTATTAAAAGAAAAGATAAGTTGATGGAGTTCATATTTTATATTATTGATGTATTAGATAATTTTCCTTCCATTATTATTCTATATATATATATGAACTGTTATCATTAAAATGATTAAATTTTTTTAGTGCTTATATTATTTTAAAATTATAGATTTAAAATCTATATTTTAATCTGATATGTTTTATTTTCTTTTTATTTTCTACATTTTAAAATTTTATCATTATCCGAACAATAATAATAATATTCGTTAAGTTAAAGTTAATATTAGTATTTGTATTATGCATAATTTATAAGTATTTAAACTTATTTTTTTTTTATCAAAATAGGTGCCTAAAGCATTTATCTTTTCTCATCTAAGTTCTAAAAAAGTTAAAGTGTGATATTAATTAAAGAATACTTTAAATACTTAGATTAAAAAGATTAAATACTTTATGTACTTATTTTGACAAAAAAATACTTTAAATACTTAAATGAAAAAGATGATATATTTTGGTACTGGTATAAGCCATAAAATTATGCACCCTTGATTGAATTGCATTTAAAGGGGATTATAAAGGCAAAGGGACCATGAGAGAGTGGATTTTGAAAGGGTAGAGCATAGAGACAAAATCAAGAGTCGAAAACTATGCGGGTTCCTCTTTGTATTCTAAAGTGAAGCCAAGTTTCCATGGCTGCAATCATGCACCCCTACACGACCAGCCACTATATTGGCTTGCTGCCATCAATGTTCAATGGGGATGTGGCTTATGTCTCACACAAATATTAATACACCCATTAATTAATTATTTTTATCCATCAGTTATATATATATATATATATATATATATATATATATATATATATATATTAAATTTTAAGATATATAAGTTAGGGTAAAGTACACAAGTAATCCTCGGCTATAGAGTGCTACTCTATTGAGTCTTCTGACTATTAAAAGTTATAAAATGATCCTTTAATTATATGGCATTACTTTGTTGAGTCCTCCAACTATTAAAAATTACAAAATGATCACCTAATTATTCATATGCTCCAAACTCGTCCTTTCCGATTAAAAAATTGATGACAGTTTGAACTGGATGTTAACTCACGAACTATGATATGATACAATTTAATCAGAATCTCAAGTGATTATCATATTCCTATAAAAACTTGTTAATGTTCATATCAGACTACCATCAATTTTTTAATGGAAAATGATGAGATTGGAACATATAAATAGTCGAAATGACCATTTTGTAACTTTTAATTATCGATGGACTCAACAAAGCAACATCCAATAATTAAAGAATTATTTTATAACTTTTAATAATTAAATGACTAAACAAAATAAAATATTATAATCGAGCGACTATTTATGTACTTTATTCTCTAAGTTATTTTTAAGAGAGAGAAAAAAGAGTTCCCCCATTTGAAAGCGACATCTAACCAATCTCTCCGTGCCTTCATTACATCGCCTCAATCATCAACCCCGATGGCCCATTGATAGTGGAAAAAAATGGTTGTGTTCCCATATATAATGAGATAAGGGGAGGGAAGATAGTAGGCTGCCCCCAACATTAGGTTGAGAGCATCCTCCGTAGGAGACCTCCAAATTATGAAATGCCTTCCATGGGACTCGATCCCACGACCTCAAGGTTAAGAACCTTGTGCTCTACCAACTGAGCTGGATGGTCACCGTATTCCAACCCGACATAAATGTTTTTTTCATCCGAATCGACGATTACTTTATGATCGTCGATTCGAACAATCGGAGTTGCAAATTGGAGACATAGAAAGGAAGGGTGTGTGAGTTGGGTTGGGGGGACCATTTTAAAAGGAATCGGAGGTGTGAATTGAAAAATCCAAAGGGTAAAGGTAAAATAATTGAAGGTAGAGGGATGGGGTGAGCAAATGTCAGATTTTTATTTCCGTTTTAAGGAAGACACTGTCAACGTCAACAGCATGACACGTGGATGCTTTTCCTTTCTCGGATGCTTCTCATCATGGAAGTCACGTCTACTCGGCTTTCTCCATATATTGGACGTCTTTATCACCAACTACATACGTCTGATCAATCCTATATTTTTACTTTACGTATAAATGATAAAAAAAAATAGGGTAATCTAGTAAAATATCACTTATCTTTATGGTCGAGAATAAAAATGCCACTGACGTTTTAATTTTGTCAATTTTAACACGGACGTTTATGTTTCACTTCAATTTTGCCACTCCACTAGATGATGACATGACAATTTTATTTCGCGTCGTTTTGGCACTACCATTTTGATGCTCAAAACGACGTCGTTTTGTTGATGAAATTTTATTCCTACCAGAAAACATTAAAAACAACAACGAAATTTACCATTTTCACAATACTGAAACACAAAATAGAAAGAAAAAGAAGTCACTCATGGTGTTTATCTGCCGAAAATTTTCACTTTGCAAGCCAACACTCATCGTATTATTGTTCCTCCACCATCGTTATCGGATAATCATTCGACGCCGAATTCTCACATCTCCAAGACCCACCTTCAGACAAACTCGGTGACAGCCAGTCGTTGCTTAAACTGTCACTCAAAACTACCAACGATATTGATGAAGACGAAGAGCACGATTCACTTACCTTAACTTCAGGGGAGGAAGCAACAACAGTAGAGGGCTATTGGAGTTGACCTTCTTGGATTTCTTTTAAGCTCTCTCTCTTTTCAGCTTTTCATAAATGACCTGAATCTTAGAATCCAC